CGTTCCTACGGGAAAGTAACGGTAATCTAATTACTGTTTTTGCAATAGTAATCCCTTACTTTACTCGTTACTTGAAAAAAGTAATCGGATTACAGTAACGCGTTACTGCCCATCTCTGGTGATGACAAGATGAAAGTCAACATACAAGACAGGAAGAGAGATACGAAGATTAGCTCTAACAGCTTTAATTCCCACTGAGCTTACCCCTTCTTGAGAATAAGACAAATACCATGGGAGTGTTATGATCCCAAGCAATTAAAGACTGTCAGTGTGGTAAATATTATATTGATGTTCTCAATTTTTCCATAAATTCATATGCACTAAATGATTTCTTGGAGTGAAGGTGCCAAAAGCTGAAATGTGTTCTGATTGCAATATGGTGGCTTGCACAATGAGGCAAATAACAATTATAGAGTACTGAATTTGCTGGAAAAACAAAACAAGAAATTAATTTGATTTACATCAGGAATCTCAAAATTAATGTCCTATTTAAAAAGAGAAATGTAAATATACACATGGGACAAAAAGGATATAAGAAAAAGCTTTAAAATGTATTTGAAATGGTAAAAAGGAGTGAAAGCTGCAAACCAAACTCAAATAAGAAATTGTAAGAAAAGACACACGCAGCAACAGTTTGCTTGGACTGCAGATTTATATGGCGAAGAGAAGTCATAAGCCAGACATTGAGAGGCCTGCATGTGCTTGTGTGATGGTTGTGCCTCTGAATAAATGCAGAATGTGCAGAGTTTGGGTTGACGGGTGTGTGCAGACATGGGCGTGTATGTTAACTGGTGGGCACTAAATTCCTGCATTGAAATGCCTCACCCCAGCCTGACCATAAACTTGCCATTGCTAATTAAGGCGTGACTTTCTTCTCTTCCTTTCCCTGCGACTCTTTCTCTCAATCATAGCATTTAATGACCAAAGCTTTCCTTCATTCTGTCACAGTGCTAGCAATAGATGTTTTCCATTAGGCGAGTGGAAAGGTTCTGTGTTTTACTGACAAAGATCCAGATGGTAATTAGGAAAGTTAATGAAACTGCTGCTCACTAAATCATCTGTCATATCGCACGTTCCATTTAAAAAATCCATCACTTTAAAAAACATTTATCTGAAGGAAAACACAGAGGCAGGTACGCACAGATTGCAGAGGAAATAGTCACTTGAAATGTGGGTTGGTAATGTGTCTACTTACTCTAACAAGTTAACAGTCTCTTGAGATATTGTCCTGCTCTTCCTAAACACAAAGTCGTTTCCACCCCCTTGAGGAACGAATAGTGAATTCTGAACCTGTCTCTTCCTGTCTCTAATGCTGTTTATGTTCCACCTCCCTGCAGCTATTTTCCCCTAAATCGTACCCACAATGAAATGGAAGGATGCCAACACAGGCAAAACAAGGATTTTCTCTCTTATTTTCTAACCAAAATAGAACGTGCAGATTGTGCTTGTGTATTATTCACTATTTACTCCACCTCATTTCTTCAGAGGAATCGCTACTAGAGAAATAAATTCCCCAGAGGAACGAGTCCACCTTTGGCCATACAATCGCCGCTTCCCACAGAACATAGGAGAAAGAGCTGTGAATCCACGCTATCTGTTGTTTAACAAATGAGCGCCTGGGTTCCAGTGGATTTATGTGAGTCCTGGGCTTATGCTGTTCTAGGATGGTCACGGTAAATCTGCTATTTTTGTCAAGGTGTGAAATGTATTCCACAGTTAAATCACACACAGGGGCCTTCTTAAGACAGTGTACCAGACACACCACACATACACACAACTACACATACATTCCTCCACACAATCTTGAGCTCCTGCATAACTTTTACGTGCTTCATTAAATAGTTTCTACTAGTAGAAACCCACATTGACAGCCTCATGGGTAGTTGGCTAACAGGCAGAAAAAGAAAGAACAAGAAGAAAGTGTACTTTATTGGTCCCCGTGGGGAAAATCGCTCTGTGTATTTAACCCATTCACTCAGTGAAGCAGTGGGCAGCCATTGGGCGCCCGGGGAGCAGTGTGTAGGGACGGTACCTTGCTCAGGGGTACCTCAGGGTAGCTGTTCAGGGGAATCGAACCCCCGACCTTCCGATCATGGGGCCGCCACTCTACCTACTGAGCTATCCCTGCCCCTTAAAAATGGAAATGGAAATGGAAAGAGAGAGATGGATTTCCATGTGGCCTTGATTCATTAGTAGATACAGTCACATTACCTGTATGTGGATGACTGGCAAAGTCTGTTAAGAAAGAATACCATAAGGCAGCGGTCCCCAACCTTTTTTGCGCCACGGACCGGTTTATGCCCGACAATATTTTCACGGACCGGCCTTTAAGGTGTCGTGGATAAATACAACAAAATAAAACTAGTACCGGTACCAAAAAAAAAGAAGATTTATTATATATAACACATGTGAAAAGACCCAGGAAAACCGAGTTAACGATAAAAACGATAACAAAATAACGCTGAAAACCTTAAACATTTCACAACTCTCGCGGCCCGGTACCAAACGACTCACGGACCGGTACCGGTCCGAGGCCCGGGGGTTAGGGACCGCTGCCATAAAGTATAGAAATACTTCAGATAAGGGCTTTCAGCACATACCGTTTATACATTCTTCTTACTTTTTCTTCATATTTCAGGTCAAATTTATTTCTCCTCATCTTTCATTTTACTTTCATTTTACATCATCTACATCTACCGTCTAATGCCTAATTCTATTACCATTTTGTTCCCCTTCTTCCACTTTGCAGTAGGCTGATCTCCAAGTAATGGTCAATACCATTACTTAATCTCCTCTAATACATGAAATCAAGAAAGAAATAACCTTGTCTCTGTTGTCCTTTGTATGCTGCTAGAGGTAACCACAACTAGACATAGCCACAGCATTCTGCAGATTAGCTTTAAATCATATACTATACATGTTTTGAAGATGGTGTAATTAACATTTCATATAAAACAAAAAAAAAATTATGTGTAATGCCCTAGAGAACACTGTAAGAAACTAATAGGATTTTCTTTATAGCTCCTTTCGAATAGCTATGATATAGTTGCTTGGATAGGGTATTCTCTTTTTACTCTTGTACTAGAGTCTGCCTGCTGCTGGAGTTACCTCAACCTTTTGATCTACGCCAGGTATGAGGATAACATATTGTTGATTCCTGCAGTCGCTGGGCGGCAATGACAGTCATCCCTCTAGGGATTATTTGGTGCACTGCGAGGGTTGGCTAACTGTTGCAGGCATAAATGAAGGTCCATTAAAATGTTTAACAGTCCACTTTTTTTCCTTTCCCACTTTCTTTAAAGCAGTGGATTAGTGCGGTATATTTACAGTTCACAGAAGTTTGGCCAAAGAAGAAAAAAAACCCGACTGTGAAAATCAAATTAAAGCCAAGTGGAGAAACAGTTCTGCATCAGGCTATACCCCATTTAAGTTAGAACCCCTGGCAGCAACGGCACGGCGGCCTGCTTGCCACCATTGTCTGACACAAAATGACAGCACAGTGAGGAGATGCAACTCATGCTATCTAAACAACACCCCCGCCTGATTCCTGGAAATAGCAATTAATTACTCAGCTAATTTAAAGCAGCACCATGCTTGTCCTAAACAGCGGAATAATAGGACTAAACACATTAGAAGAATGAACAAGCTTAAAATATCTCCACAATGCATACATAACACTATACATTGATGGATCCCTTTGCAGAGGCACATGTTTCTTCAATTTACGAGTAGAAGTCAGTAGCCCAGTAAAAAGGACAACACTGTATTTCTGCAGATTTAACTGAAATATACTCCACTATTCTCACTGTCAACTCAGTGGCAGCATATTCATAACACACTCACATCAATGACCCAAAACATCCCACAGAACCTGTATAGTACTGTGACCTGCCAATAATGGATAACTTAACTGCTTGTGTGAAATATTGCCAGTAGACTGAAAAAAGGAGAGATCAGAGTACAATACTGTACTTTATGAGCACCATTCGGTAACATTGGTGTACTAGTGTTTGCCAATGCTAGCAAATGTGGTAATGATTAGCAAAATGGGAAGTGATTACCTTTTTTCTTTAAATAGAAACTAAAAATATGACAGGACAGTAAAGTATACAATCATGCAGAAAGTAACAAAATTGATTTAGTAGAGGAAAGCAACCAGAGGCTACAGAAAGAGAAAGAAGCGCAAAAAAAATACAACAAATTGTTAACCTTGAGGGTAAAAAAAACAACAACTTCTATTTAAGAAGAGTTCAACTCCAAGAGTACAGCTGCTGTTCTTCCTCTTATAATGGTCACCATGATGAAGATAACCTGAGGCTTATTAAAAGATTCATTCCATACGCACACAGCAGTGATCTCTTTTTATCATCCGCCTTCCTACTCAAAGTACAAGCTCACACGAGGCGTATGGGCTCTCGTTTGAAACTTCATCTCGAAATTAAGCCTCACTCATCTCTTTGCTTCGCCTGAGGTGCAAAAAAACCAGTGAGTGAGAAATGGTGCAGAGCAGAATCAAAGTGAAAGAAGCACAGAGCAAAGATGCAAAGAAAGGAAAAGCTGAAGAGTGATGACAGATGGAGGACTGGAAAGAGAACAGTTAGAGAGATTTTATGTGAGTGAAGGCTTTATGCCTTTTAGGAAAAGCCAGTGCACCAACAAGCTGGGTATGTATTGGATAAAGTTGTAGTTAAAGTGGACAGATGAATACACTGAAAGACTAAGAAATGCAAAGTAATACACAGTAAAGGAGGTGAAGGTTAGCTTTCGCCTTCAAACATTTCCTTTCATTCTTTATCTATTCAGTCACTACTCTGACACTGTTAAACACAGGGTACAAGTTAAAACTAAATGGAAATGTTCCTGTCAAAGGGCAAGGTTTTCACCAGACAACTGAAGCAATTTTCATACACAGACACTCAGACTGCTGAAGTCGAAATAATTATGAGGAAAAAGATGTACTCAGAGAGGCAAAACCACAGAAGCGGGGTAGGTACACTTACCCCAACCTCTACGTGATCCGAGCCCTTGTCATCCTGCTTGTGGAGAATCTCAAAGTAGTATCGTCTGGATGAGATCAGACTAGAGGGGAAACAAGGAAAGAGCAATTATTATTATTACATATTGAACATTAC